TAATTTGTGAAGTGAAAATGCATTTCTCTTAGCAGTCATCTCAGTTCTGAAACATATTTATGTTTACTTGAAGAATATTTATGTGTCTGTGTTAAACACTATCAATGTTCTTTAGGTAATTTTGTTTTTAATTTTAACTCTTGGGACATTTTCTTTCAGTAACATTTCATATTTAACCTACATAAAACGATGTCCATGTTTGTGTTGTATTTGGGGTACAACTGTTGTGTTAATTAAGATTTTAGATTATCTGCCATTTTGTTTCTGTACTATCATTGGGCATAAATGTGAAATGTGGGATGAGAACTATGTGTTTGCTTGCTGAGGGTAAGATAACTTGAAATGCCTATCAAGAAAGCCTTATTATACAGCGTATGGTTGGTAGAAAATAATCCTGGCAAATGGCTTGAAATGTTTCCAAAGATTGTGTGTAGTGGAAAGGCTACAGCCTTTGAATGTGATGTGTGGCAAAAAAAGTTAAGTGTATAAGAAGAAGAATTTTGTTTACTTGAATAAGAAGATCTAGATCTTAGAGAACCAAATAAATATTTTTCCTTGGATTTAGCAACGTAATAATCGCGTTTGTACAGCAAAATGATTATGATTAAATAAAGCAGTGACCCATTGTTCAAGTAGTAATAAACAGACAGTTAAAAAAGAGAGAACTCTAATTATTTATTTGTTAATCTGAAAAATGTTTTGGCTTTTTACACAGGTGGAGACGGTAATAAGGTTGACAGGATGGGGGGAGGGCCAATACAAATAGTTCTTCTATGGCCTTCTCAATCCTCCTCTTCCATTTGGTCCTATCCTGTTAGGTCCATCTGTCCGAGGCTTTGATTGAGGTTTCAAAACATCTTCCTTTTTACGGTGCAAGGTTGTTAGCCTTGCGACCAACCCCCAACCTGGAGGACCAGGGTACCTGTCTTAGTCTGACCTCTCCCCCTCGACCAATCTGGCTAGGGAGGCCCTACCAGTAGCTATGCTACCGCCAGCATAGCTCTTGGGATCACTGAGGTACTCAAGCCCCACCACCATGACAAGGTGCAGGTACCATTAAGAGAGGATACAGATAGTTGTTAATAGAAAAGGTCGTTCATTTGAACAGGATGAGAAAGCGTTGGCAGACTTTCTTCTAATGGACCACATCAGAAACAAAAATGTGGTGGTTATCTCAGTAACAGGTATCTACCGGGCAGAAAAGTCCTTCCTCCTCAACTTTTTTTTCCGATACATGGAGGCAAAGGTTGGTTTGTCATATCAAATAAAGGTACAGCTTTCCTCCATTTTCTTTCAACAAAATAAAATATATTAAGTAAATATTGTAGTGTTAATTTTTATTATAATCTGTTACTTTTTAGCACACTTTTTTATTTTTACGGAAAGCTGTACTTATATGTGTGTCTGTATAATTTAAATGATACACATGCATAAGCACAATACTTATTTACAACTTTTAATAAAATATTACTATTATCTTCGTCACATGTGTGAGAACAGGGGAAAGGTCGTGCTGGCAGAATAGCAAACATCCTGTATTGTAATTAGTATGGAAGTTACTGTGTCCCGCGCCGTATCCGCGTGGTCTGAGGCATCATGCTTCGGACCAGCTAGTTCGAGTCTCAGGGGGAAAAGAAATTTTCTCATGAGATTTCGACCGGTGCCAACCCAGCATCGTGAGGAAATTGGGGAGCTACGATGAGTAGCGTAATCCGGTCAAGAAAGCTAGCAATGGCTGGGGGTTCGTCGTGCTGACCACACGTCACTCTATATCTGGTTGGATGATCGTTCACCTCTGCTTAGGCACGTGGACATGAGGCCAGCAGTCAAGCTAGTCGGCTTTGGCTCTCTGGAGCTGTTACGCCACGGATTTCATTTCATGGAAGTTACTGTTTTCAATGACTTTAGTGAATACATTTGATGTAGTGAATAATAAGACTTGATTGTAAATGAGGTTAAACACTTCATAAGCACTTGACAGTAGAGGGACCCGTGGAGACAGATAACTATGAAGAGTGAGCAATAAATTGTAGAACTGCTTTACACTATCAAAGTTTGCATATCCGATATTGATATGCGGCAACTTTGGGTAAACAAATTTGCTGGAGTGATCTTTCTTATCATCACTGCTTAATATATAACACTGACATTTGGGAATGACTCTTCAGCCTTTTATGGAATGAATCAACATATTTCCTTTTGATACTAATCTTGTATAGTAATAAGATAATGCTTATGATGATGTGTGTTGTGCATAAATTGTTATAACCACTGTCATGGTAATGCTCTTACGGGATTTTCATCCTTAACGATTTGCATTACTGACTCTAAAACCACGCCCTCCTACATCTGGCCAGTGACGTGTAAGAAGGTGTAATGTCTAAAGGGCAGCTTCTCACTGAAGATGATGTCGTAGATATCATTTAGTGGACATGTAATCAACACTTGCTATAAGTGGGGCTTCCTTTTCAGTTGTCCGCTCGTGATGGTCAAGAAGCACTGCATAAAGTGCTTTTGGAGTGGGCAGCCAATTATTTTACATCTGAACTGGTAGATGCGGAAAATAAGCACTTCCAGAAACTTCAGTTTCTGGTAACAAACTATAAAGAGCTTCATATGGATTACCGTTCGGATGAGATGAAAGGACAATGCCATTTGAATAAAGCATTACAGGTTTGCTATAATGACATCACACACAACGTAAACACTATAATTTTAAAGTGCCTAACCCTGCTAATATTGTGTGCAGTTAACTGCACCCCATAAGGATATTTCTGCTGATTACATTTAAAGTAGGACCCTGACATCCAACCACTTTCTTTATTTCTCATATATTCAGGATATTCATTCTCTTTTGGCCAGTGTTTTCAGTTCCATGTTTCATAAGTAGAAAAACACACTGAGATATAGGTGGGGTTTCTTTTTCAGTTGTTCATTGAATATGGTAAGTTAGTACTGGAGGATTCGGAGCACAAACCCTTCCAGAAACTGCAGTTCTTCGTGAGAGATTGGCAGTTTTTATCTGATGCAAGCTTTGGAGATAAGGGAGGACAAAAGATTTTGAATAGTAATTTTATATTATTTTCAATGACATAGTAACTGCTGGGAATGGAGAAATGAATCATATGAGAAACAGAAAATCCTTTAAAAATATGGCGACTTAAACATCCAGTATAAAATTCCACCATGGATTATAGAAAAACAGAATTGACGTGCATCATGTGACAAGCGTGGGTTTGACACTACAGGAAATGAATCTGGTTTATGTAGCCTCAGGCCACAGTCCAGGGGAAACAACAGCTAGGGCTTCTGTCCTTCCGCTATTACCAGAAGACGATCCAGCTTCTGAAACGTTATTTTATTGAAATATAAATGATGGACAAAGTCCAAAATTCCATGTTTGCCTCTCATATTTTCCCATGTAATCCATTCTCCCAGTGAGCATTCATGATTGCAATCTAAATAATCAACAAACTCAAACTCCTGCCGTCCATTTTGCACATCAAGTGTTAAGTGCAGAATAAAGCAAGGACATAAGAAGTGCAGAACCAAATAAAATATGCATTATAAAAAAATAACAAATATTTGAAAATTGTGCTCTCTGCTTAGGCACATGCAACATAATAGTCCAACACACTATTTCCACAGCTTAATACTTAAGCTTCTGCTGTACAGCATCTTTAGACATGACTAACTTTATGGTAGTTTTGCATAATGTGAAGAAAGATATGCTGACACATACTTATATTAAATTTCCACTATAAACACAAGAGTTATCCACACTCATATAAATCAGCAATTATATCACTCTCAATCGTTTATGTTGGTACTTTCACATTTTATTAATACCAAACTTACACACTGTTCTAATTTCTACATGCCACATTACTACAGCAAAAGAGTAAATTTTAGCCTGACGCAATTTCACACAAGAACAACTCTATGTGGTATTTCCCACGTTCATAAAGTTTTGACTTCATCAGAGCTGAGAAGGCATGGAGAGAAATCCACACGGGATCTAGATGGTCTGAAACCTGAGACCTCACTAACTTTTAGATCATCACATCCCCTTCAATACATTAATGAACCCCATGTTTGAAATAATTAGGACCGCAATCACATAAACAAGATAAAATAATCAAAATATTTTTTCTGTTATAACTATACTGTATTCATCTTTGCACAAAACTTTCTTATTTCTTAAAATTCCTCATCCCCATTCCTCGGCTGCACTGATGAGTAACATTCATATTGTAAGTCAGGTAATAAACTCCTAAACTTCACCTGTTCTTGCTCCCTGCATCTGTTCATACGATTATTTCACAGCTTTCTACGTACGTATTAACCCGTTTCTTCAGTATATTATACTACACTACTTTAACATCGCCAAGATACATACTGAAATGCAAACATTTCTGAAGAAAGATGCCATACACAAGCAGTGTTTTAAACACAATCAGCCTGACTGGTCAAAGCATACCTGATAATTTTCCATCGAATTCTGGATTTGTTGCCACTTTGAGTTTTGGTTGAGGCATCAAGAAACAGGACATCTCTGGAAACCATGTCTTTAAGCCTTCCGCATGATAACTTCCCTGAAATTGGTACAATAAGTCCCATGAGTATTTATAATCTGATACATGTTCCTATTGACATGATGTGTACAAATACTTGTGCACTTTTCTGTTATAAAATATTTTATCCAACACTAAAAGACAAATGGAGTGCATGAGCCCAGTTTATTTAACAATATATGTATTTTACTCTCCAGTATATATGTTGGTTTCTTTATTAACAATTAGGATGTTTAAGGTTTTCTACAGATTGTTATAGCCACTGCAGTCGAACAAGTATTTAATATGGAACATTTTCACCAGCCTTATTGTCTGATGGTAACACTTTTTGTCCTCTATCCCATTTCATTCGTGCAGTACATCTGGCTGTATCAGAATTGTCCTTATAACCCACAAAGTGTATTATAACAAAAACAATAAATTTTGCTGTATTCAGAGACCTGCCACATTCACCCATCTTAGATGAGTAAGGTGTGAGGCGTATTCAGAAAGTAAGTACCGTTTGGGCATACCTCCTGCGCATCATCGAAACGATCCGTTTGCGCATGCGCGGTGGCTTCCTCTATCCATTGATTCGTCACAGACGCCATTTCGTGAGAGTAGTGTCAGTTAACATTATTCTGTGAGCAATAAACATGTTTAAGAAAAATGAACGGCCCGCCAACTGTGAAATAAGGTCTTTTATTCGTTTTCTTAATGCTAGGAATGTGTGGCCGATTGAATTCATCGCCAGATTTGTGAAGTTTATGGTGAAAATGCAATGAGTGATCATATGGTTAGGAAATGGGTTCACAAGTTCAATGAAGGACGTGAAAACGTTCATGATGAGGCGCGAAGTGGGCAACCATCTTTGGTGAATGCCAACTTGGTGTGTAAGGTCGACGAGGTTGTTGCACCGCGTGGACTGAAAAAAGTTTACCGACATTTTAGAGGTTCTCACTGCCTCCGTCATCAGGGCGATGAGTGAAGCAGCAAGGACCTCTGAAACATCAGCAAACTTCTACCAGACTACGCGGCGCAACAACCCAGAAGACAGCACAAAAAACGCCGTTCTGCAAGTGCTTTGACATTTTTGACTTGTTATCACGAGGAGGAAGATGAAATATTGTGTCATATTGTGACGGGAGATGAGACTTGGGCCTCCCATATCACACCTCAATCAAAACAGCATTCCATGAAGTGGAAGCAAACAGCGTCTCCAAAATCCCAAAAGTTTAAGCAGGCAATTTCAACCAGAAAAATCATGTGCACCATATTCTGGGACAGGAAAGGTGTTCTATTGGTGGAATTCACGCCGCCAAGCACAACAGTCAACTCTAATGTTTACTGCGAAACTTTGAAGAAGCTGAGGCGTGCAATTCAGAACAAAAGGCGCAGGATGCTGAGTGCTGGCATGCTTTTGCTTCACGACAACGTTCGACCGCACGCTGCTGTTCAGACTCAAAACCTTATCACGTCGGATGGGGACAAATGGATTGCCCCCCGCAAAGCCCCGACTTGGCGCCAAGCGACTTTCACCTCTTCCTACACTTGAAGAAATTCCTGGCCGGTCAACTTTTTGTTGACAATGATGAAGTAAAAGAGGCAGTGCAGCAGTGGCTTGACATCGCAGGCGCCGCGTTCTACGAGTAGGGTATACAAAAGCTTGTGCCCGGTATGATAAGTGCCTCAATATGGATTACATGGGAAAATATGAGAGGCAAACATGGAATTTTGGACTTTGTCCATCATTTATATTTCAATAAAATAACGTTTCAGAAGCTGGATCGTCTTCTGGTAATAGCGGAAGGACAGAAGCCCTAGCTGTTGTTTCCCCTGGACTGTGGCCTGAGGCTACATAAACCAGATTCATTTCCTGTAGTGTCAAACCCACGCTTGTCACATGATGCACGTCAATTCTGTTTTTCTATAATCCATGGTGGAATTTTATACTGGATGTTTAAGTCGCCATATTTTTAAAGGATTTTCTGTTTCTCATATGATTCATTTCTCCATTCCCAGCAGTTACTATGTCATTGAAAATAATATAAAATTACTATTCAAAATCTTTTGTCCTCCCTTATCTCCAAAGCTTGCATCAGATAAAAACTGCCAATCTCTCACGAAGAACTGCAGTTTCTGGAAGGGTTTGTGCTCCGAATCCTCCAGTACTAACTTACCATATTCAATGAACAACTGAAAAAGAAACCCCACCTATATCTCAGTGTGTTTTTCTACTTATGAAACATGGAACTGAAAACACTGGCCAAAAGAGAATGAATATCCTGAATATATGAGAAATAAAGAAAGTGGTTGGATGTCAGGGTCCTACTTTAAATGTAATCAGCAGAAATATCCTTATGGGGTGCAGTTAACTGCACACAATATTAGCAGGGTTAGGCACTTTAAAATTATAGTGTTTACGTTGTGTGTGATGTCATTATAGCAAACCTGTAATGCTTTATTTAAATGCCATTGTTCTTTCATCTCTTGCGAACTGTGATCCATACGAAGCTCTTGATAGCTTGTTACCAGAAACTGAAGTTTCTGGAAGTGCTCATTTTCAGTATCCACCAGTTCAGATTTAAAAGAATTGGCTGCCCACTGCAAAAGCACTTTATCCAGTGCTCCTTGACCATCACGAGCGGACAACTGAAAAGGAAGCCCCACTTATAGCAAGTGTTGATTACTCTCCAAGGAAATACAATGAAACCAAGAAGTGTTCAGTTCATTTCTACAAGGCCCCACAATTAATTAAAGTGATTATTAATATTTTCAAATTTGTTAAAAATATACCACATATCAGTTCATTTTCCTGCATTATGAAAAAACTGAAACTAATCTGGGTACGATGAAGGCAGAGCCAGTTTCCAAAAAAATGTATTTCAAAAGAACTTATGACAATAGATAATGTCCACTAAATGATATCTACGACATCATCTTCAGTGAGAAGCTGCCCTTTAGACATTACACCTTCTTACACGTCACTGGCCAGATGTAGGAGGGCGTGGTTTTAGAGTCAGTAATGCAAATCGTTAAGGATGAAAATCCCGTAAGAGCATTACCATGACAGTGGTTATAACAATTTATGCACAACACACATCATCATAAGCATTATCTTATTACTATACAAGATTAGTATCAAAAGGAAATATGTTGATTCATTCCATAAAAGGCTGAAGAGTCATTCCCAAATGTCAGTGTTATATATTAAGCAGTGATGATAAGAAAGATCACTCCAGCAAATTTGTTTACCCAAAGTTGCCGCATATCAATATCGGATATGCAAACTTTGATAGTGTAAAGCAGTTCTACAATTTATTGCTCACTCTTCATAGTTATCTGTCTCCACGGGTCCCTCTACTGTCAAGTGCTTATGAAGTGTTTAACCTCATTTACAATCAAGTCTTATTATTCACTACATCAAATGTATTCACTAAAGTCATTGAAAACAGTAACTTCCATGAAATGAAATCCGTGGCGTAACAGCTCCAGAGAGCCAAAGCCGACTAGCTTGACTGCTGGCCTCATGTCCACGTGCCTAAGCAGAGGTGAACGATCATCCAACCAGATATAGAGTGACGTGTGGTCAGCACGACGAACCCCCAGCCATTGCTAGCTTTCTTGACCGGATTACGCTACTCATCGTAGCTCCCCAATTTCCTCACGATGCTGGGTTGGCACCGGTCGAAATCTCATGAGAAAATTTCTTTTCCCCCTGAGACTCGAACTAGCTGGTCCGAAGCATGATGCCTCAGACCACGCGGATACGGCGCGGGACACAGTAACTTCCATACTAATTACAATACAGGATGTTTGCTATTCTGCCAGCACGACCTTTCCCCTGTTCTCACACATGTGATGAAGATAATAGTAATATTTTATTAAAAGTTGTAAATAAGTATTGTGCTTATGCATGTGTATCATTTAAATTATACAGACACACATATAAGTACAGCTTTCCGTAAAAATAAAAAAGTGTGCTAAAAAGTAACAGATTATAATAAAAATTAACACTACAATAATTTACTTAATATATTTTATTTTGTGAAAGAAAATGGAGGAAAGCTGTACCTTTATTTGATATGACAAACCAACCTTTGCCTCCATGTATCGGAAAAAAAAGTTGAGGAGGAAGGACTTTTCTGCCCGGTAGATACCTGTTACTGAGATAACCACCACATTTTTGTTTCTGATGTGGTCCATTAGAAGAAAGTCTGCCAACGCTTTCTCATCCTGTTCAAATGAACGACCTTTTCTATTAACAACTATTAACATAAATATTCTTCAAGTAAACATAAATATGTTTCAGAACTGAGATGACTGCTAAGAGAAATGCATTTTCACTTCACAAATTAGGTACCCCATGTGGCAAGATTAGTAATAGAGCAAGGAAGTCAATAAATTTGGTAACTGCACCAACACTAGTACACAGACGATGATTTTATCTCTGCTGTAAATTTTTAAGCTTTGTGTATATCTATAATCTATATGTAAAGCAAGTGTTGTATTTCTATTTAAAATTCTGAGGATCATGTATATTAATCTGTAAAATTATTTTTCATATTTGTATTGCAGAATCTGAAGTTTATGTACATTGATATGTGAAATACGTTCTTGTACTTGTGTTGAAAGTTCTGAAGTGTATGTATATTGCATGAAATGACATGTTCTACATCCTAAGAAGGATCTATGGAATGTAAATAAATAAACTCTACTCTACTCTGTAATTCATGACTTGTGCACTGACGCAAACACTCTGGAGGTGGTTGAAGGCAAGTCAGCTTCATCAAAATTAGTGCAAATGTAGTTTCCTTTTATATACCTCACTCACTGGTATTACAATGTTTGAAGATCTTTCAGCATTTTGTTTTACAATGCAAGTTCAATATTATGAGTAGCATACCTACTTTTAGCACTTACATGTGCAAAATATAATCAGAATCTGCAAATCTGTATTCTACATGAATGCTAACTGCAACAGGCACACTGAACAGAAATTTAACACTAGATAAACAATGGCAATCACAGTTTGCAGATCACTGTTATGATCATCCTGACTATGAATGGTAAACATGAGCTAAATCTTAAAACCTTGCATACTGTCCAGTGGATCGATATATAAAATCATGCATACAAACAAAACTGTTTACTTCATCTGTGAAAATGACCTCCTGAGGTTGAAACACCTTTGGCACCAAGTGTCTTTTCAAAGTGTAAACAGTTTTGTTTGTAGGCATGATTTTTTACATCATCCAAGTGTCTGATTATATTTATTATATAAAACTCAGGACGCAAATCATCAAACAAAAGTGAAGAGTGACTAATGAATATGAAAATCTGTTCTAGGCATCACACTCCAATAACACTTTTTTCCCAGCATTTGCCTGCATGGACTGAAAAAAAACTACTGAATCCTATCAGGAAAGTGTCTAAGCCAATATCTGAACTCATTACACCCTAAACACGATCACATTTAATCCATAATTCTTTCTCTAACACTATTTCATAAACCTCGTCAAGGAGATCCTGAATTTTGAAATGGGTGCAATGTAAAATGCCACCAACTATTGATTTGTGAAGGACTGATTTAAACAATGAAAACCAGTCAGGACAGCATTTCTCTAAAGCTGGTACATTATATTCAAGAATCAGCAGTGCAAACCATTAGTCATTTTCCTCTTGCAAGCCACAGTTTACTCTCTGGAAGTGGGCATACATAACATGCACAAATTTTGCAGAGAAAGCAAAGACGTAATAGCATGCACTACCTATAACGCACCACCAGAATTAAAAATGTATCACGATACACATACCCCTCTGCCTCACTACATCTGTAGCGGACTAATAACCACAACACAAACACAATACTTTATACCGATAGTTAGAATAATCACCATACATAATTTCAACATATATTCGCGTATGTGCCGCACATCACTCACACACTGAAGACGCCTCCATTTTTATCAAAAAGAAGGTTCATAGCTGGCCACACATTGTGCAAATTACTTCATTATATATAAGCTACAACTAGCCCACGAAATCATATACACTTATAACATAACAAATATAGAATAGTGTATATATTTACCAAATTCTTGTACAGCAAAACCACTTTCGCCAACCAACGCCACTTTCAATAGGTGAACAACAGGTTCCCGCCGATTTGTTCTACAACGACAAACTCGTCACAGATAAAGTATTCGAAAGGCAACTTACCTCTGATAGTCAGAGGTGACAAGGAGAACTAATACAAACCAAAGAACGTATAAATGAATCTGCATTGCTCATATACAGTAACAAGACGACCTACTCAACCCAGTACTATTACTGAAATAACAATTGAACCTATTTATGCAACAGCACAGCATACGCAACCCATCACTAGGCATGAAGTCGCAACAGTGAAAAAGCCATACGATAAAGCAGTCGAAACATTATATTTTCCAAACGTAGAAGGAATTAGACACAGAGACCGACCTTTTCGACAAGTGACAGTTACTTATAAAAATAATACTACACAAAGGAGGAGACTAAACACAACACATATGTACAGGTACTGGCATATATTGTAGCTAAATGTTTCTCAAATGCGTGTGCTGAAGGACACTTATACTTAATAAACCACGTGCAAATAAATATTGTTCTAGGAATAGAAACATACTGAATGTGCATGTAGGACAGATTGTAAATAATCAAGGGATGTTAAAAAAAGGAATAGAATAGGACATAACAGAACGAATATTACTGAATCAGTTGTGGTTTATGCTGACATCGTTGAAAGATGTTTTTAAATTGGCTTTGCTATTTTGATGTGGATGAGTCGCTGCAAAATTCTTAAGTGAAAATTTTCCTTGAGGAAAGGAGTTTAATATTTCATTGATTCAGAGATCAGAGGAGCCGTCCGTGCACGAATTTCGGGATCCAAAGTGTATGCTTGACTTTGGAAACCGTATCGGCATTACTGGGCATCTGAACAAACTTAATAACTGTCATTTACATCGCAAATACCAGCTCATTTATGTTATATTCATTTCTACGAAAGAGTTTTCCAGACGAATCTGCTACAATGGGAATGCAAACTGAGAGCTAATAAATTATTTAATTTTCCATCATTAACTGTGAAAAATTTAATTAGGGTGCATAATTTAGAGAAATCTAGTAATTGTATCAGAACGTAGATTGTGAAATTAAGTTACAGACTTTTCCGACTTCAAACCAAACCCCCCCTCCCCAAAAAACATTATAATGTTTTATTTCTAATTTCTCGCTGACAATTCAAGCCACACCAACAAACATACGAATTCAATTTGCCGATTTAAGAGTGACTCAGTGTTAAAGGAAAAATCATATTACTCATCTCTCAATGATTTATACTCAAAATACTCCCCCCCCCTCAAATAATCAGAAAACACAAGTTTAGTATTGTTTATATTTTGTAGTAAGTGTAGCCGCTAGATACTGTTCACATTAACGAATGTCATCGAATATCTGTCTCATTCCTTCTACCCCATAGAAGAATTTACTTCAACCAAATTTCTCAGTCATTATAAACATGTAAGCAATAGTGGATATGCTTTCCTGTATGATTATTTTTGCGGTAATGCTGTAGTTAACTGCAAATTACTGTGACAACCATGTAATTTATATTTGTATTAGATACAACTTTTGTATTTGTTCTATGCCATGTTCTACATCCCACGCTTGGGTCTATAAAGGATCTATGGAAAGAAA